TCCGGTGGTTTAAGGATAATATCCCTGATGGCGGACATTCGGTCGCCGGGTATCGCCTCTACTGCGTAAACGTATTTTGAGCGTTTGCTCCGCACGTTACGGGCGACAAACTGCGTTTCTAACGCCGCCAACCACACTTCGGGGTCATGAGGGATGAAGGCTACTGGCTTAAAACTAATAGCCAATAGGTCTAACTCCCTATCGTCTACCGGTGGACGTTCCTCGGACATTGTACAGATGCGATAAAGAAATGTATCGTGCAAATGCTAATGAACCGTGAGGAAAAGGTGCAAATCCAAAGGGAACTCACTTACAGAGTAGACGGTGCGGGCTCACCAATGAAGCTAACCGGTGTTGACGGCCTTCCGGTATGTCTTCTTACGAGTCTCAGTATGCGCGCGACCTCCTAGTGTCTCGTTGCCCGAAGTAGACAAAAACACTCGTGGGAGTCGTAGACGTTTATTGGCAAACCGTGGTACTAGATAGTACCGAAACGTGCCAAGGTGACGCTAAATAAAGCAAGCAACAAAATGCAGTAGCAGAGCGATAGCGTGTCACACGTGTAGCGTGGGTTTGAACAGGACCCAGCTTATATATACGCCTGAGCGGAAAACCGTGCTCGGTAAAACAAACAGAAGTAAAACAAAGAAATATCACAGTTGGAGTCAGAGTTGATTGTGAAGAAAATATGAACGGAAAACGTCTTCGTGGATTGCTCCTTTTCTTCGTACAATCATGGTCACTACAACAGCATGTTCCCTTTCTTTTTCAGCCTTGCCAATAAAAGACGCGACTCGTACTACATCCGATTCCCGCATCTTCGGACGATCGCGGAAATGTCAACCGTGCTGCAAGCCAGACGAACATACGGCTCGATCGGTCTACCAACGAGATCGAGCCAAGGCCGAGGCCTCTACGTCCTGGAAGATTGGATTGGATGCAGCGCTTAATTTGAAGTCAGGGTTTACTGGGAAAATGGGCCGTTCACGTAGTCGATCTTCTCCGGATGCCTATAAATCACGACACAAGAGACATAGAAGCCGATCTCGCGATAGGAAGAGAGATAAAGATAGGTATAAAGATAAGGTAGACGATCGGAAAAAAATTCGGACAAGTGACCGGGCTTATCGAGATTCACATCGTCATGAACGTCGACGGAGGTAATACACATTCTCTTTCTTATAAGCCATAGGCATCGGAGTTCTTCAGCCTCAAGCTATGACAGTGAGGTAGAAAGACGCAGCCGTCGAACTAGAATGAAGGAAATTGATAGGAAAATTGAGGAAGCTCGAAAACGTGAAGAAGCCGAAAAGCGATTACAAGAACAAAGGGAACGGTAAGTGAATCATCTCTAAGCCCTCAGGGCTTTTAGCGGTTTCATCTTCTCATGGTGTCCATAGTAATGCTATGTTCAATCTATTTTGATCCTTGACTGTTTCAGGATGCTTGTTGATCATGAAACAATTTACGCAGCAGCACCGGGAGATCCTTGGAGCTCGTCACTGCAAAAAACTAGACTACTTGGCAAACTGCCACCAACGCCCTGGGCACCGAACTCAACTGAGCTGTTAACACGCTCATCTTCATTACAGTATATGGTAGTAACTTTACGTAGTAGCCTCAAAGTAGACCCCAAATTCTTCCAACGAATTAACCCGGAATCACGTTACATGCAGGCGTGTGTTCTCTCCTTAATTGACATTTGATAGTGACGGATTTGGTAATAGGTTTCACCCTCTTAAATAGTAAGCTTGGCCTGTGCCCAATTGTAATGAATAAGTATATGTATCAGTGCAAGAAGCTGGAAAAGTTGGTACGCCGTTGCTACGTCTTATGTGCCGACTTTACCTGACATGTCCCGTGTGTACGCACTTTCAGACTTTCCAACCCGTGGAAGACGGAAGACATCTCTATCCGATCACCCAGCACAATTGTTCACACTTCATTTCCACGTCACTTTTAACCAGTTTCTTACCGGACTGCGACTGAAACGAGTTTGAAGCTTTTGGCGAAGAAACCTTCCTAACGAAGCAAGAAACTTGACGCTTGGTTGGCGAAAGCCTTTTCCGTCTTGCGATACCTAACCTGAGCTGACCTGACCAGTCTCCCCACGGTCTCCAGCCAGTAGCAGTAACTGAGAATTAGGCACAGCTCAGTAAGCAACAGTTGCGCATGCATACTATCAAGCATTAATTTACTCTCTAGTGTCTGTTTTGTTGGGCGTTCCAGACCAGTGACGGAAATCATTAACCTGTAATCACTTATCCCAACCAGCTTGCTTTACCACTTTTCGAAACTAACTGAAAAACTAGAACTAACGCCATCCGATACCGTCGATCAGCACTCGTCCCTCATTAAGAACACCTACCGACCCATTGAGTCGTTTCGTCGTGACGTCCTGGATTTTCGATAAGTTTCTGAGCATTCTTGACCCACACCGATCATTCGTGACTGGCGGCGAGCATTACGAAAAACGACAAGAAGCGAGATTTGAACTTAACGTAAGCCTACTCAGAAACCTCGAAACCTGGTGGTCTCAGTGTTTATCAGAGATCAAATGTGCTGCCATATTGCAAACCTAACGGGGCCTTATGTGGTTCACCACTCCAAGTCCGGGGCTTAGGTTACCGGTTTTAATCGCTGAACAGCAGATCCTGGTGATTATGGGGCTTTCCCCGTCTGCTGTTCATCAGACTAAGGTATGTAATAAAAAATCTTCCTGTGAACTGTTTGATCTGAGTGTTATGTGAGTCACAGATAGGCAAGCACTAGATGTGGGCAAAACATCTGTGAAGCTGAACGTTTGCTTAATCGCAATCAGCATTGACGTCTCGCCCGCTGGGTGTAGCACTGAGGACAAGGTTAGTTATCCACCGGCGTCTGATTATCCCATACGTATTTCAGCACATACCCCGCGGTAGGTTTCGCAGACCTATCCGACGCGGAAATCCTCAGGGAGACCCAAGCTGTGTTGTATCAAAGCGTCGGGCCCCAACGACCGTTAGCTGTAATCAAAGGTTAATCCCTAAAGCCTGTTTAGGGGATTGCAGGTTCTGTTTGCAACATCTAGGAGGTCTCCTCATCGTAGACTAGTTGAGCGTGGACCATTTTTGAAAGGTTTTACACAGTGGCTGCACCAAGCACAAGTAAATCAGCCCAAGAACAATCGCCTCAAGGCTGCTAACATCCGTCATTCCTATCCGATTGTACAATGCGCCTAAAGTCAGCTCTTCAGAAAACATGACAGTCTACAAACCTTAGCATTTTCTCCATAACGTTCTTGGACACAAGGGAAACGTACTTCCAGTGTGGGTGATTTGAAAAAGCTTAATTTTCCGATCACAGCATAAATATCTCTTGTATTTTCGCACTTGTATGGTTTCATACTGTCTCCCAGACAGACAGTGGTGTGTTTATGGTAAGGACGTCCACGTTACTCAGCGGTATGCAGATACACTAGATTGCATGTAAGCTGAATGCTACAACAGATTCCTCTGGGCTCAACCGGATCCTCTATGCTTTTGTATCGTAATACAATTTTTAAATTTTCTCCCTTTCCTCTGTTACAATATGATGATTCCTAGCCGCCGTTTTTAATTGAAATCTAAGCAAATGCTTATGAAGGTTATACAATGTCCGTTTGTAGATAAGCATTGTTTGCACATTTTTGATTTCGCGGCTCCGTGTTACCAGCTGATTAATGTTCCATTATTAAATGAGTTTCTGGGTTGCGAAAAATGCCAACTACCTCCTACCGATCAACCGAAGGAGGCATGGGCATGGTGCATGTGTATATACCCTGCTGTATGTTGAAGATAACGGTACGATTTTTGACTTTGATGCACTATTAGGCTTACTATGAGCGAAAGGGTGAAGATCCTCGAAGATCCATTGCTTACTCTAAAAATATACTTCTCAAACTTCGACATAAGTTGATATTACACGTTTCTAACCCTCCTTCGTGTAACTCAGTGTTCAGTGGGGTCTGCTGACTGCTGATGTCAAACTCCAGCGTCTCCACTATTCTCTTTGACCCTCCCCGATATGTACTGACCCTGTATAGACCACTTACTATTCATGAATTCTACACTGTTCATCGCATTTAGATCTAGGTATTGCCTCACAATTCGATCGTCAATTGGTACCGTTTATTTCCGTCACGATAAATTTCACATCATGCTGCTTCAAGGAGACTAGTCCAGCCCAGTTCCGAGCACCGGAGTAATTTTGAGATCACCCTTGTTTCACTCCAGCGTTACAACAACAAATTCAGTTACTGTGCTAATTGAAAATCGTTCAAGGTGAACAGATGAACGTACAACCAAATAGCAGAACAGCGAGTGTTTTTAGGTGAGTTCGCGACTTTGTGTCAAATCGGAATACAAACCGCAGCCAAACTTTTCTTCCATGTTCGTTCTTGCTCCTTTTTCTGAACCACGTCATCGTTGTCCTTTCGCACTCACTCGAATTTGTTAGCTCAGTTTACCTCCCCGGGAAATCACCAATTCCTCTCCAATTCTTCGTTTTCTGCTTTATCAGCCTATGGTCTAAGTTACACGTAGAGAACGCTCACGATTGAAGGGTGCTACGTTTTACTTTCCTCGTCCGTAAACGGCTTCTGATTCTATCCACTTACCACTTGTCAAAAACTATCTGTTCTTGAGTCTACTAGTTACAAGCCGGTGGATGGTGTGATTTACACGTATGCAATAGCACTGTTAACTTTCGTACGGAAATCACCATAGTTTAAGGCAAACCGTAGTTTCAGTTTGAACCCCGCTATGGTGCACAAACGTGCATAGTTCTTCTCCGTTCTAGGCGTACGCGTATACATCTATGCGCCGAATGGGGGCGCAAACAGTGACGATGTAATCTAGAGAGTTAACGGCTACTCCGTATATTATTGAGTTGTTATAAACCCTTCATGATAATTTTACACCGTGCATTGGTCGCCGGCCTAAAATAGACACCTAAATTTGACTTTTCTTCTTATCAATTGTATGCTATTTACATATACATGGTCATCCTCAATCGTCGCATGCTAATCGAAAAGTTGAAGATTGCAATAGATGATCATTTTGGCTTATTTTTCCCTGACTTCGTTTTAGCGAGCGTCGGCTGCAGGAGCAACGTGAGAGAGAAGCGGAAGCGGCCAGGCAGTTGGAGGCTCGGGTCACTGAAGCTTTTGAAGCCGCTTTGGTTGACCGCGCGGATGATCTCAAAGCAGAACTTGAGCGGCGTTACCAAGCCGAAATAGATCGCCGAGTTAGGCAAAAGCTCGATGAGATAGAAAGAGAATATCAGAAAAAATTGGAAGAAGAAAAGCGACTTGAGGTAATTATTAATTTAATGGTTTCCATCATTTCCCTATCCGCCACCTTTTTCATGCGCATGTGCTCCTTTAACTAGACAAAGTATCATCCAGCTTTCTTATTGTCCAGTCTGTATGGTTTGCCACTAATTTCCGGGATTTTAATAACCGAATACCTTGACTGAACAGTAGGCCTTGGTGACTATTAGGTTCTTCTGTCTGTTCATCACATAGTGGTGTCTAATAAGAGATCAAGTCCAGACGTCGAAGGATACCAGCCGTTTTTGCTTCAAGTCATGTCAAAAATCGCTTTGTTCATCCTAATGGATGGAATATCAGCTTCTTGCGATCCAGGAACATTTATCGTCGCATACAGTCACAACAAAAGTGAAAAAACAACATCGTAAACTCAAAGGAATG